CTGACCCAGTAATTGGATGTGAAGAACATGCCAAAGCGCAGAAAGCCAACCAGCAGCAATCTCGGAATTGTGTTCAGATGGGGGGAGACTGCAGAGACAAGCTGGGGCAGAAACTAGCCCAAAACACGATTAACCCACATCTTGGACGCGATCATAAATTATTATGCAGCTGGGAGCAAGCAGCGAGCAGTAGGCAGAAGTCTCTCGATTGGGCTGGTCGCGTGACTCCTAAATTGGGGCTAGATGGTGGCCAAAAAATGGTCTAAATTGTTAAGTGTACATTTAATTTTAAAGCAAATAAGTTGTCAATATCACAAACCAATTATTGCTTATAAATGCTTTTTGTAAATTTAAGTTTTAAACTTAAGTCAATGGTTATATTTTGCTCATTCTTAGGCACTTGAAGATGGAAAGAAATGTTAATAAAATATGGACTAATCTGAAAAGAAACGTCGAAACTATATTTTGAATGGTTAATAAATGGTTTAACAAATATAAAATTGTAGCCTAAACCACTGTGCTTATTTTTCTTAATTTTAATATTTTGCCTAAGCTATATTGAAATCTTCACCCCATAAAATGCCATAAATTACTAAGTAAAATCGAAAACACTACGTATCCTACATGTGGTCGTGAGTGGACTGATCACGCATTCACCTCCGAAGCGGGGAATAAAGTTTGGAGGATGAGGAGCAGGCACATTTTTCGGCTGATTCTGCAGCTTCAATTCCAAGTTGCAGCACACGAACATGACTTTCTAGCGGATTTCTTGCATGAGCTTTGTGGTGGTGAATCGCAAGAGTTTTTGCGAGGGGGGTTTCTGCAGAGCGGGGTAGCTAACCAAACCATGCAACTATTTATGTGTTGTTGCCGAAGCTTGCCTCTTCTCTACATTTAATTATTTTGTTTAAAAAAGTTTTGACACCGCGACGCGCATGCAGATTTACAGTCCGACTGGGATTGGGATTTCTTCTCTTTGTATTTTTTTTTCTGGTTTTTGAAAGCGGGAGTGGAAGTCATAGGTAGACTGACAGCCTCGGCCAGCGGCTTGTGGCATGTGTGGTGGAGCAGGGGCGACAGCCGTGACAACAAAATGTTCAAAAACCCCACCGAGGGAAAACATTTTGCCACTCAATTTTGTGTTTGCTGGACGAGCACGAGCGGCAGATTGGCTGGTCTAAGTATTGGGATTGGGATTGTTAGTGGTTAGTGCCGAGTATATGTATATCTAGATTAAGGCGCGACAATAAGTATTAAGCATTAAGTTGTCTTTGCCACGGCGGCGTGTGAAGTGCCGTCTCCGTTCCGACGACTTTGACTCTCCGGGTCAACTCTTTTGTACACACGAGTACGACACTCGTACCGATCTGACAATACAAATCGCTGGACGAGTGGGTGGGTGGCTACATTGCAGTTGGCAGCAGAGATTTCTGAGGGAAGAGGGAGGATTTTGGTTAGCTATATATGCATTTAAAAGGGTAGGAATTTACTTAAAGTTGGGGTCAAGGAAAAAAAGACTTGGTTAAGGCTTTACACTTTTAGAATTAAAACTTTAGAAATTAAAAGACTTATACTTAAAAAAAAGTTTAAATAATCCATTTCTTAATTATAATTAAATAGCTGAGATCAATTAACAATATACCTTTCATGCTTAATTATACCTAAGTTTAATACCGAACAATTTGGTATGTTTAATTAGATCAACCTTTGCCGTGAGAGTTGGGTCAAATTCCGCCCACCCCTTGGCGGCCACACATTTTTTCGTCTTGGCTTAGTCTGACATTTTCCTTTTAATTTATGCCACCAACTTGGGAGATTACACAGATTGCGGGTTATGCAAATTATTTTGCCACCGTCGCTGCCACAAAGGCTGCCGTTTGCTGCAGTTGTTTGTGTTTGCGTTTACATTCAAGTTGTTGCTGTGTGGTTGTTTTAGTTGTAGTTGTTGCCTGCCCACTGACAGCCAATTTGGCAAGTCAACCGCGGGGGACAGCGCGGCTAACGCGCCGTATGAGCGATGCCATTTTAGCGGCGGCGTGTTAAATATAATTTTAATTATTAGCCAGTGAATGTCTGTGCATTGTTTTGCGGACTGATTAACAAATGCACAAATTGAAATCGAAATCGGATTGGACGCAGCACGCATTCCTGGCTATTCGATCGCTGGACCGTATAGGAATTTTAATTGCTCCGCCACTGAAATCGAGTTGCACACATGAGCCACTGCCTCCTTTTATTGAGGGAAAAAACTATGTCTAAATTTTAAAAGAAATTTTTTAAAATTTAGGATTTGTAATGAATATATCATGAAGATGACTTGAATTAATACTTGTTGTTCTTTAATTAAGAATTGTTGTGTCCGTTGCATCCAGTTCTCAAGAAATTAGTTCTGGCTTCTGTTTTTTCCTCTGTGTAGCACCTGCAGTCCGTTTTTCTACTGGCTGGGAATGGTGCCAGTTGCTCATACGATACGGTGGCCGGTCGAACTGGGCCCCCAGCTCCCAAGCTTCGAAGTCAAATCAAGTCAAAAAGTTAATTACAGTCAATGCGGCAAACGATTTTCATGCACTTTTGACACCGCCCGGTACGTGACACTATGAGGGGCAACAATTGAGAGCCGCAGAGTCGGCTCAGTTGAGTCAAAACAAAAAAAAAAGCGGGGATCAAAGAAAAGGCTAAATTGAGACGAAGCAATGCACTTTGTAAAATATAAGAGCAAATGGTGTATGTTCAAGCTGATATCTGACTTTGACTCTTCATAGATATATTCATGTGCTTCTTTAGAAAATTATATTTACTAAATACCTTAAAATGTGTTTATGTAATATATATCTATTTCGAAGCAATTCAAATTTTTTCAAGTGCAGTACGTCGATAGATCGATTCAATGAGCTCAATCAGCACTTGGCTGCCCCAGATCCCAGATTCCAGATCCTGGATCTTTGTCTGCCCAGGCACTTACGCAAATGGCCAGATTGAACCGCCAGTCTGCCCGTCTGCTCGTACCTCATCAAAACTTTCTTTGCGCTGTCTGCTTCACAATTACCCGAACGACTTCATCTGTTCGATCCGTAGAGATCGGCGGCTAATGACAGACCCCACGAAAATGTCTGGCCAAAGCAAATAGGAAACCATTGGCCAGCCATCGGTCAGTGGGTTAGTTTCGGCCCACAAAACAAATAAAGTACAGAAATCAATTGGAGAATCCCCTGAAGATGGCTTGCAATTAATCATAGCTCGAGGCTGACTCTGCAGCGAAAGTAATTTTGCAGACGACCAGAGTTATAGTTTGGTTTATCGTAGAGCCCACCAGGTGGTCTTCGAACCCTGTGGGCACTTTCACATGTCGCAGAGTTTGCCGGGATGGAGAAAAAAGGTTGCGAGTGAAGTGGGAGGGAGGGAGGAGAAAGAAGGCGACTTCCCCGAGAGTCGAACATGCAAATGCCCCATCAATCAGCCACCTCGCCCTTTCCCCCGACACATTTGACACAAAACCCGGCTACTGTGCTGCCGCTTTTGCACATGGCAATCAACGCGTCAAGCGGCCAGGAAACGGTCGCCGATTCCGACCCCAACTTCAACTTCAATGGAAATCCCTGTCTCCAGCACAGAGAGAAACTATAGCAAATAATTGATAATTGGTGAGAATTTGATCTAACTTCGAAATCAATCGATAATCTTAAACACAAATACGTTCAATGAAAAATATTTATTGATCAATGTAGGAAATAAACATAGTTATTGGGCAGTCTTCGATCTAATACTTTTTGTTATTCCTTATAATAATAAAAGTATTAACTGTACAATTGCGTTCAATACAAATATTCTGAAATAAAAGTTACCACATTATAGGAAATTGCCAAAATCATCTTCGATCTAACACCAAAATAAAATTACTTTTGGTTATTCATTATAGCAATAAAACTATTTAATATATTAAATTCCCTTACTTGTACGTTCTTGTAAGAAAGTATTGAATGTTTATTCGCTGTGCAGCCAGAAGCCATGCCATCTCCATTTCCATCTCCGTCTCAAGCTCCATTCCCATTTCCATTTGCTATTTGGCTTGCAGCAAAATGTGTGAATTTCTCTGGTTTGCAGCAGGCAGCAAACCATTTTTGACAGCTGCCTTCGAAATAGGAACGACCGGACAGTCAGCCAAGGAAAATGCATCCATCCTCCGTTCAGAATCCACCAGCAGCAGTTCTAGGAAATCGGCAGACGCTGTTCTTATTTGTGGGTCAGCCTCTGGAGCCGAAAAGCGCAGACAGAACTGCAAATGGGCAGACTCCACCCAGAACGTCGGGGCTTATTAGCTGCACGCTAATTTATTCCGGCAAACAGAAGGCCAGGCTTCTGTTGCCGAAGATTCCAGAGCCAAGCCCTCGATCGCAGACGTTCAGGCGCCAGACAAATGCAAGTTGTGAAAACTGGCGTTTGCCTGAAAATTTCTGACCACATTTGGACAAATGAACAATCTAATAAGTGCCTGAGGAAAATCAATTCCTATTTTTTAGAAACAAATTGGTTTAATATGATAACGAGAATGGAAGTTAACTTAGCTGCGATTGCTCAATTTAGGTTCTCTGGCAGAGCATTATAATTACATTTCCATTATCATTTAAACAAGTATTGCTAGTGAAATCAGTTTTCATAATCATTAAAGCAAGCAATTGCAAATTACTTATTTATTTTAGAAAGTTATTGTTAATGACAAATTATTTTCGTACTTTTGAAGAAATTATGATAATGAAATGACTATTCGTTATTTTTGAAAAAGTATGGCTATTAAAAACTATTTTATTATATTTGAAAAAAATAAGACAATTTGTTTAATAACATATTATTACTTATGGGAAAAAATCGATGATAATGATTATTTTTTATTAAAATTGCAATACAAAAAACATAAATCAACTAAGCGCGTTGAATAAATCAAATAAACTTAGCACGCTCATATGAAGCTGACAGTAGGCTTTGAGCAACGACTCCTTTAGTCTGTCACAGCTGCCTTTACAGTCTGCATTATTTTCATCATTTGTACTCATATCGTTACTAGAATCGATCCTGAAAATATTAAAACCACTAAACAAGTTCGGAAATTGTATATATTTTTGTCAAGTTTTTAATATTATATTAATTGCCAAAATGTTGCGGTCTTGCGTATCCGAAGCGATCAACTCGAGTCGCTGTTTCACGCGAATGTACTCGAAGGAAGTGCGCTTTGGATCCGGAGTTCGGGCACTGATGATCCGGGGAGTTGATGTCCTGGCAGATGCGGTGGCCGTGACAATGGGTCCCAAGGGACGCAGTGTCATAGTGGAGCGACCCTGGACATCACCGAAGATAACCAAAGACGGCTTTACAGTGGCTCGGGCAATTGCTTTGAAGGATCAGCACATGAATCTGGGCGCCAAGTTGGTGCAGGATGTGGCCGACAATACAAATGAATCGGCTGGAGATGGCACTACCACAGCAACTGTTCTGGCTCGAGCCATAGCCAAAGAGGGTTTCAATCAAATCACAATGGGTGCCAATCCCGTGGAGATTCGACGTGGCGTCATGATGGCCGTGGATGTGGTAAAGGAGAAACTTAAAGAGATGTCCAAGGCAGTGGAAACCCGTGAGGAGATCCAGCAAGTGGCAACCTTGTCGGCTAATGGTGATACGGAAATAGGTCGCCTCATTGGCGAGGCCACCGATAAAGTGGGTCCCAAAGGAACTATCACTGTGAAGGAGGGCAAACGTCTCAAGGATGAGCTGAAAATTATCCAAGGCTTACGCTTCGATAATGGCTATGTCTCGCCTTTCTTCGTGAACAGCGCCAAAGGTTCTAAAGTTGAGTTTGCTAATGCCTTTGTCTTGATCTCACTGAAGAAGATCACTGCCCTCACGGAGATTGTGAAAGGTCTGGAGCAATCCCTGCGGCAGCGACGTCCTTTGATCATCATAGCCGAGGACATAAGTGGCGAGGCTTTGAATGCTTTGGTTCTGAACAAGCTAAGATTGGGTCTTCAGGTCTGTGCAGTCAAGTCGCCCAGTTATGGACATCATCGCAAGGAGCTTATAGGTGATATATCCGCTGCCACGGGAGCTACTATTTTCGGGGATGACATCAACTACTCCAAGATGGAGAATGCCAAGCCAGGCGATTTGGGTCAGGTTGGCGAGGCTGTCATCAGCAAGGATAGCACCATGTTGCTGCAGGGCAAACCCAAGCCAGGATTACTGGAAATGCGCATTGAACAGATTAAATATGAACTGGCGGATAAGCAAACTAAGCCCGAGCAGCGTGAACGTCTCAGGCAACGCCTTTCCGCCTTAACAAAGGGCGTGGCAGTGCTCCACATTGGCGGTGGGAGTGAAGTGGAGGTGGCTGAGAAAAAGGATCGCGTGGTGGACGCTCTAAATGCCACTCGAGCTGCCATTGAGGAGGGAATAGTTCCGGGTGGCGGCACCGCCTTCCTGCGCTGCATTCCCCATCTGCGCGAACTCAAGATGGAAAGCGCGGATCTGCAAAAGGGCGTCGATATCATTTGCAATGCCCTGAGAATGCCCTGCCAGACAATTGCTCAAAATGCAGGAGTGGATGGTGCCATGGTGGTGGCCAAGGTTTTGGATGGCTCCGGGGACTATGGATACGATGCCATGGGTGATGAGTACTGCAAAATGGTCGAGAAGGGCATCATTGATCCAACGAAAGTGGTGCGAACTGCCATCACGGATGCGGCTGGAGTGGCTTCGCTTTTGAGCACCACCGAGGTGGTGATCACGGACTCCAGGAATGATGATCTTATGGCCAAGTTAGCAGGAGCTGCTGGTGGCATGGATGATGGGCTGGATATGAACATGGGTGGTCTGGATGAACTAGCAGCCCTGAGTGGACTGGGAGGCATGGGTGGCATGGGAGGAATGGGTGGAATGGGTGGCTTGGGAGGAATGGGCGGTGGATTCGGCGGCATGGGAGGAATGGGTGGTGGTGGTGGCATGAGCGCATCCACCAGCGATGGACCCACCGCCGAGGAAATGAACGAGATGGTCAAGGCTATCCCCGGCATGGAGCAGGTGGAAGTGCGTGACATCGACAGTGGAATTATGTAGTTCAATCATTCATCATCCTTTAAAACTCATCTATTTGGTTAGGCCTTAAATTCTATGTGTTTTAGCGGTCAAAATCTATTCCATTCTGAAATATAAATTGTCAATTGTGTGTTAAAAGAACTCCTACTTTTTTTTGACATGTTTTTTTTTAAAGATATTAAGTATGGTAAAGTCCTCTATTATCAAGATTAAAAAAACCGATCACCCTTTAGATCTTAGATAATATATTGAAAGTGGTCTAATTTTCAAGCATTTCGACAATTTTTCTTTTTTTTTATAATGAACAGTTACCAGTTTGCTTGGAAATGCCGTTCCCTTTAAAAATAAACTTACACAAAATAAGAAAGTGAGTCCGATTTCGGACGATTTCCCTTTGCCATTTCCTTAACCCGCTTTTTTTTCTGCAGACGGCTCCAATCGGTTCATTATGCTGGTCTAAAAAAACCTAGCTTCCTTCACACTTTCAGTTTTTAATTGCACTAGCCAAAAATTTGGAACGGTGACCGGCAGAGCGAATCCAGCTGCAATGCGATGATCATTTGCATAAAACAAACAGCAATTTCTCACACATGTGCGGCTGTTCCTCGGCCTTTTTCCCCCGCTCGCTTTTCCAGAGTTTTCAGTGTTTGCGGATTGCATTTGTTGGCCCGCAGCTAAAAAAGCGATTCGTTACATGAGAGTCAATGTGCAATAAGGGGGGCCTAGAGCTACAGCTACAGCTAGAGCTAGAGCTGGAGCTGGAGTTGGAACCTCTACAAAAGCGTCACATCAAACATGCATCAATAAATAAATAATTCCAATTTGCAAATTTTTCATCGAGGCCCCGCAAACGAACCGAAAATGGTGGACCCATCGAGCGTGGGCCACAGCCTCTTGGACTGCACCACACTAGACCCCTCGATCCTGGTCAGGTGGTTTGGCGTCGAAAAGGAAATTGTTCATCTGGCGAACATATTGGGCACCATCGCCAAGGCACAGCAACAACTCCATTCGCAATCTCCAGTCGGGGAAACTGAACTCCAAAAACTGAAAACCAAAAACCGAAAACAGACGAAAGGCAAATAAAAAGGCTATCGCTATCGCTCTTGGCCAATCTGCATGTGCAGGCCCACAAAGCATTCAGTACAGAGTCAGCTTTTTGTTTTGCATTTTTTCTTGTTTTTTGCGTGTGAGGCTGCGGACAATGACAACAATGAGTAAAATCATGGGCACAAAGTGCTGCCTCACCCCTCGCCTGTCGTTAACTTTTTCTACACGTCTACAAAATGAAAAACTTATCTTACGGTACAAGCAAAAAGTGATTATCAACTATAAAATCTAGTTTACACTTGCAATGTTTAGAGCTGACAGGTAATCAAACTCGTTTTTTGAATTATCCCAATAATCATGTGTTGACTTGTTAAGAAAAATGCATTAAAATATTTCAATGTTTATTGGGTACGTTAGTTGTTTATTACTTTTATGACGTTTAATATCGTATTAACAACTCAATTCATTTTATTTAAAGATTCGCATTTTATTCGATCAATTTTAGTTTTTATATATTGAATTTATAGTATTTTTAATGGGGGAATGCTTTTTTTAATTTCTTTTACAATAAAATTGTTTTGACATACTTATTTAATTTTTTTTAAATATGACAGCTCCAGAAGCTGTTAAAAAATAATTATTTTCTTAACTCGAGTAATTCTTAGTACACTTTGCTGAGAGTGTAACCGCCAAAAGGCCAACGAGTGATTGGAGCACAGCAAATGGCATTTTTAGCTTTTGACATTTCACGCGTGCAACTCCTCACTGTTCGCCGTCATACACGGCGTATGTGCGATGTGATACGACTTTTCGCTCTCTCCCGTTATGGTATTTCCCGATCGCGACCCCAAAAACGGGCGGCGGCACTTTAATATGACTCGCGATCCGAGATCCGACTGCAGGCTAATGCCATAGATTTGAGTGGCCGACTAATTCACGATAATTTGCACTGATCGTCGATTACAGATGGGGCAGCGGCATTCGGTATCCCAGAATTTAAGATCCCCAGCATCCACTTCCTACGCTCACTTCTCACTGCTCTTTACTGCAAATGCATTTTTAATTACATTGGCAAACATTTGCGGGTACTCTGGGTGGCGAAAAACAATGCACTGCATGCACTGGCAAAATATCTATGTTCTGTTCTTACTATTTTGGTTTTCTGCTCAAAAATGCTACAGATAAATTGTCAAAGCTGAATGTCTTTGTAATAAGAAGTTTTATGCATCATATTAATGTGCCAAAAAAACATAATTATCATATTTTTTTCTGTGTCCGGATGTCAAGGGGATGGCGTTGCGAATGGGATGGGTTGGCCAGAGGACGGACCGGGGATGGACTGTAGCTGGTGATGAGGCAGTGCATCATCCACTTGGCCATTTGCCTGATTGCGGTATTTTGCCTCGGTCACTGTATGGTAGATGCTGGATACTGGATGCTGGATAGTGGATGGGTGGAAAAACATCTCACCAGAAATAGCAGGCAGCAAATAGCATATGGTAAATGGCAAATGTCCGCATCGAATGCTGAGACTAAAGCGAGTATATGTTCGCAGTATCGATTTCAGGCTACCGCTCCCAGTTGCCAGTTCGCAGTTCCTTTTGAATCCCGAGTTTCCTCTTAAGCGATGCTCCTCCATCTTCATCTGCTGCTGGCCGCTTCTTCTTTTTCTACGGCTGGCGCGTAAATTTTCATGTCGCTTTGCGATTTGCAAGCATTTAACAAAGTCAAAACAATTTTAATGCACAGACGGGGCAGTTAATTAAAATAGCAACGATCTGTGCTCGGGTTGGCTGTAGGTTGTAGAGTTGGCCATATGGGCCTCAGTTTGATACCCTGCAGGGTGCCCAGGCCATTAATGTTTGTACCAAAGGGAAGTGGATGGGCAGGGTGACTGACTGACTCCCTCGTTTTGTTTATGACCTGCAGTCCTAAAGTTTTTATTTTGGATCATTAGTGGATGGCTTTGAACGATGTGATATCAATCTAAGGCACTTTTACTGCTAGGGCATACGAAAAGTCTATCATTTATGGCTGAAAAGGATTCGGGTATACACAATGAAAATTTCTTTATTAGTATAGTATAAAAATAAAACAGAAGTCAGGAAACATTTATTTTTGTTAATTACCATAATACAAACAATCTCTGTAAAACCATCACATTCGCCATCATTCTTAATAGTAACATATATAGGTACATGTATACACCTGATGTATTAACATTTATAAATAAACCTAATTCCGAAAAACAAAAACTATGATGGACAACAATTACCCAAAACCCTGTAAATAAGCCAAGCCCTTAATCCGGCTTAAAGGACCAAATTTTGAGGAGAGAAAGTTGGTCTGTACATATTATTTTTATTAAGCAAAAATACATTTGCTTTTTAAGTTTTTCGCTATTCCCAATTTTTGTAAAATTGGCAATGTTAAACATAGGGAACTATGGTGAACAACAATAACCTTAAAATCCTTTAATTAAGCACAGCCCTTAATCCTTCTTGAACGAGCAAATTTTACAGATGGACAATTGGTCAGTAAATATTATTTAGATTTTAAATATATTTTTATCTGAAATTTCTGGCTGTGTAGCTGGCCTAGACGGCGGACACTTGTCAGGTTGTTCGAGGGATTGGGACAGAGACTGTGGGACTGCAACTGCAACTAAGACTGAGACTGAAACCTCGAGAGCTGCGCTTCCCATGTTGTTGCCTTTGACAAAATCAAATTAATTTTAATGCCTCCTGGCCGCTTTTCTGCACATTAATTGCCAGCCAACGAGAGAAGAGGAGCTTACTTGCTTACTTACCTCTTTTACCTCTCGTTTGCCCATCTCTCAATTGGCTCCGCATTTTGGCATTTCGACTGCCGACAGGTTTATAATTCAATAAAATTTGATTAGGCATTAATTTGCAATGTCGGCTAATTAATGAGCGCAATATGCAATGCAATCTGCTCGTGGTGGTGCTTCTGCTTCATCTTCCGCCTCCGTGGGTTAAGGCATATTTAACCCCCTTCCGCCCCTTTCACCCCTTTGGTCATATCATAACCATATTTGGTTTGGTGTAAGCACATCTAATGCCAACTTTTAAGTAAGGAAAGCACAGTATTAAGTGGCTTTCGCCGCCGCTTCCTTCTGTCGTGTGAAAGGGGGCGTAGTGGGGTGGTGGGCGTGGCAGCTGAAAAGGCGACCTACTGAAGATTCCTTGTCCAGTTCTTGTCCTCTCGCTATCTCACTCTGTTGTGTTCTGTGGCATAATGGGCCAATTATTACTGCAATTTGCATTAGACCAACACACCGAAACACGGTTTATATAGATATACGCCGAGATATGTAATCCATGGGAAGAGGAAGCTCAAAAGAAAGCCAACAAAGCAGGCAGCCCGCTTTGCAAAATTCTTTTGAGGAGCGCGTTGTTATTATGAAACCGTTTAGAGAACGTGTTTGTGAACAGCACAGTAATTTGGTTAGATTACCAGCCTGGCGACGACGATGATGATGATGCGAATGATGTGGATGCGGATGATGCAACTGCAACAGCATCAGAGAAACTGCATTTTCCACCGTCCAAGGGAAACCAACATCAGCGGCAGTATGATCATGATCTGCACCAGCAACTGCAACGCGACGAATGTGGGCCAATCTATCACCGCTCAAAGTCACACCAACAAAATATTGACTGCAGTCGAGTTGAGCTTACACTGCTAGAAAAGAAGAGGAGACTATGATTAAGTTTTGGTATTGTTAAAAAAAAATTGTAACTCTAAAGTTTTGAGTACACCATTGCATTTAGGTCTAGACCCCAATAATGATTGATCTTATGACTGAACAAATTAAATTAAAATCAGAAATAACTCTTGTTTCAAGACTTATTACAATAAAAAGTTTAGAACGACTTATTTTTGATATTTTGAAATAAAAATCTAAAAAACTTTTACTAAAGATTTTTATAAATAATAGTTTAAAGCAACTAATAAACGTGATTTGCGGCTTTTCAGTTGGTTAATATAGATTATGTATGTGAGATCACTCCCAAAAATTGATTTTGTTGTATTTATAAAGGGGATCATTTATAAAGCTACTCATGAGGTTTTTCAAGTTTTCAATATTCGTCAAGGGAAATCTTGTGCTTACCACTCGTAATATTTTTTTTCTGAATGTATAACTTGAGATGGAGTGGCACTGGCACTGGGACTGGCACAATCCCGTTTCGCGCGGAACGGCAGCGTGTGAATAGAAACGTTAGCGGAGGCACGTTCTGGACGCTGGCTGATAAAAGTTGATTGCAAATTTATAGACGAGCAGATTGGCCATAAACTCATGTCCGAGCAGCGGCCGTGAGTAGTTCTATAGTGCCATGGTGCCAGTGCCTTGGATCTTGGATCTGTGAAACAGAATCTAAATATCTGCATCCGAACTTGGGCTGCAGCTGTACCTGCCGATCGCATCGATCAGAGTCAATCTCAATCCCAGTCAATCGTCATGGCGATAAGCGCGCTGTCGTTGTCAACACGAGAACAACTTCCGCCAGTGCTCAATCATTCAAGAATCGAGCACAGTGGAGCTCTGAGCTCTGAGAATCGAGAATTGTGAATCGGCAGGCAAGAAAGTGAAACCGCCCCGGCGGAGATTTGCTTTGACTCGCCTCTTAATTGAATTAATTAGCTTGCGCTTATGCAAATGCCTTGGCTATTGCTGTAATGCATTCTGCATAGATATATATGTTCTGCATGCCATATGTGCCAAGTGTCAATATATCGTGAGGCCAAGTTGTATTCGCCGTGTTCTGGCGCACACATGTTCATACCTCCCAGCCATTATTCTTCAAAATGCGCCGCAAGCCGAGCTCAAAGCTCGACTCAAGCAGCCGCCGTTTGTTTCTTCACACAACACATTCGTTCCACAATGAGATACCCCCTACGAAATACGAAATACGAAATACCCATGCCCTATATCAGGTCCAATGGGTCGATCACGAACTTTGTCACACGCAAGCTGGGCTTTTTGAATAGCCAGGGAAGTCACGAAAACGGGGAAATCGATGGAAGGGAAGACCCCTTTTATGGCTAATGTCAGCGGTCGAGCTATGAACATTGTTACCTTTTTTCTTTGGTGTTGGCATCAACGGGGTGCCAGTGATAATGTATGAATCAAGGTCATCTGGCCATATAAAGCTATGGATTTAAAGACTTATCCATTTATCAACTAAATGCTCGTGCAGTCTTTAAAGCGTATAATAATAATCATAACAATATTTTTATATACAATTTGTTGAGTTTTGAATCTAAAGTAAATATAAAGCCTGGTGGTCCAATTTTTTTCAAGACTTTTTAACACAATTTAGATTTTCTAAATTGAATTCTTTGAACTATAAAATGTAATTATGTACAACTAAAGCTTTCAATTTACAAGTCAACTTAGTAAATTAAATTTTTTTTTGTAATAGTAAGTAATTAAAATTAAATTTAGAGTTGCTGTTTGAATAGTTTGACCTAGTTTTTAAAATATTATCTTCGGGCATTACAATGCTACTGTTTTGATATTTTAAAAATTTCCAAGTAATTGGGTAATTGGATTGTGCAACTTGCATTATTTAGAGTATTCCTGTTTCGATCTATCCCTTAAATTGTACACCAATGTTGTTGCTATTCTGTTGTTTGTTTGCACTCGTATTTCATTTTATCGCACAGTGATGGAGGGGAAATGGAAATGGGAGGTTGGTGCGAGGGGGCCAACGTAACGCCAACACACTCCAAAGCCGCTGCCAAGTAGACCTTCAGACGCCAAACACTCCAACGCCAGCTTCAGTCGCAAAAGTCGCAGCAACATAGCAGCCAAAGCAGCCAACGCAGTCACAAGAGCATTCATACGGCATTCGGCATTCAGCATTATTCAGGCGGTCTGTGGGACAGTTGGACAGGTGGAAAGGGGGGCTTAAGGGGCCCAAGAGCCCCAAGAAAGAGGGAGGCGGGGGGTCCAAGGTGCCTGGGGCGTAGACAGTTGGACTGGCAAAAGAGCTCGACGCTCGACAGCTCGAGTTTGCAATTGCGCACTTCTAAAAGCGGCCGAGTTGCAAATTTTGATCTGTTTTGCATGGCACACATAGAAAAAAACCAGCTAAATACGTTATAATGTATACTGCCAGGTCTAATGTGCGAAGAAATTGAAAAAGATTCGCTTTTAACACTTCCTAATCCGCTCTTAAACGATTCCTTTTTTCTTTTACTACTGCTGTTACAAAGTTGCTTTTTTTTGATCAACCCAGATTTTGCTATTTAATCATTAATCATGTCTATCAATTTTTTTTATCCGTGCATGCACTCAGCACCACACACGGCGGTCGATTACTCGCGTCTCACAACTTGCATCTTGCATCTCCATAAATATAAATACTGGCACCTTAGCCTACAGCTCGTAGCTCAATTGCTTATTGTTTGCCCTCCGCCGCCGATTTCGTTTTCATTCACCTGTGCACTTGGGCTCTCGAGTCTGCGAGAAGTCTGCGCTGCGGATCGGGATTGACACCTGACAAGGCGGCAAAGTCGAAAAACAAAGCGGATCTAAAGGTTGCAGATTTGACATCCGAGATAACAAAAGCTTCACTGTAAAAAAGGGTAGACACTAGACTAGTAAATAGTTCATCATTTTAGTTAAAAACATATTCAAATTGGCTTGTAATGGATTCCAGACTAGAGGAATTATATCTCCAAGTTAATTGGATAGATAAATATTTGTTTTGGATAAATGAATATCACGAAATGTATAGTAAGGAAAATGAGATACAATGAAATCATATTTGGTAAGACTAAAGTATGAAAAATATATATCTAAATCCAATATAAATAGTAGTTTTCCTCTGCAGATCTCAGTATCGTATACCATTCCTTGAGGGCCTCAATAAATAGTAATTTATTCACTCATTCATATGCACATGCACCTATGACCGTATCTCTATAATTATATAAGCCCGATTTGGTTCGCATGTGCAAAACCACTGGCCAAGTAGTGCAGGCGTTGAGTTATTGGGCCCAGTGATGATTCATTCCATTCATTTGCCCGATCGCTGCTACTCACCCATCGATCGCGAGATTTATGGCCATGTTGATAGGCAAATTTCCGTTTGCGCTCGAAACACAGAAATAAAGTCGCAGTAAAACGCGATACTGATGAAGATATAGTGTGTGAATACGATGATACTTAATCTAGTGACAGATAATTAGCAGGGAAATAAACAGACAAGCCATTTATTATTATTAGAGTGTTATTCACTAGGAATTCATTAAAAAATATCGCACTTGAGTCCCCTTAAAATAATACTCCTATTGACAGTTATGTTAATTACATAATATAATTCACAAAAAGTAAAAAAAAAGTTATAAATTATGGTGTGATGTTGAAACGTAAGCTTCTTTCGACAATGCACATTGTGCATATTAACATGAACATAAAAGTAATAATTTTATTGTTGTTAGACTCCGTTATATTAGGTGTTAGGAAATGGATATCTGAAAAATAACGACCCTCAAATATATGTATACTAACCAATTCAAATTAAACTCTTACGTTAATATGCCCACTATTATGGTTTTAAGTAGGTGGTATAATACATTTTATTGTATTCAGCGTATGCATTTGCGTACAAATCGAATGTCGGATATTGGTTAGTAAGTATTGCATATATGCAGATACATATTTGTTTATCGCTACTAAGTCTGCTATCAGTCTACGAATGCATGTGTGATATTTGGTATCGGTAATTGGTAAATGGTATTGGGTAATTGATAATGGTAATGGATAATTGGTAATAGTTAATCAGTAGTAGTTAATTATTAATCAAAGGCATGTAAACAAATGTGAGTTGCAGGAAATCAACAGATCAATTTAAACTAAACCTAGCCAGCTTCTTGTACAACCTGCGTTTCTGCGTTTATCCGTCTATTAACTCGTAATACATCCAAACAACACATATATAACGTTGAAATAAGCAACATTTGTAAAATAAACTAGTGGGACCCCATCACAATCAAGCTTACAAAATAATACCCATAGATTATGCACATAGTTCCCAGGACAGATCACAGGAATCCCTTGCTTAGCGTTTTTTTTTGGGGGGCGGCGTTTAAGGAAAAATGAGTGTGCTTATATGTGGCATATATAGTAATATCCTTAAGCGGTTCCTACTAGGTGAATATATTCGATATATTATACGTATGCGGAGTCCATTAAGTGTTCAGGCTAATTAATTGCTATCGACACTGTTCCAAAAGAGGACTAAATTCAAATTCGGGTGGGTTCGTCAGACAGTCTCTCGAATATATCCAATCGGTTGTTGTTGTTGTTTCTTAAAGATTCTATATCAAAAACGTTGTCAAGGGGAACACTGCGGTCTATTGGTGGTGAATATCATAGGTGTTATTGTTATTGTTATCGTTTTGTTGGTGGTGGTGATGGTAGTTTTGGTTCTGGGACTATCGAACTGATGCTGACGAACTAAAATCGGATCTCGAGTCTAGGCGATATATATTTTAGACCCTGCGGTTGCAGTGCTCCTGCTGCAAATTCACGTTGTTCATAACCGCACTCATGTCCACCACCACCGAGTCTGTCATCGTCATCACGCACTTGCTGCTCGTCTCCAGCTCAGTCTGCCCCTCGAGAAGTCCCCCCTCGAGGTGTCCGTGTCCATTGGGGGTGCTGGCGGGCATGTCCTGAAAGGGTAAATAATCAAATTTTCAAGCGGTATATCTTTAAAGTCTTGTGGCTTAAGTCTCTAAAAACATGCCTCTAAAAATACGCCTTTCTTAATTTCCAAAAAAATCGTGTTTACAGAAAAATGACCTAAACCCTGCACCTCTAATTCCATAACTTTTCATTCCGGCATCCGATTTTCAAGCGGTATATCTTTAAAGTCTTGTGTCTTAAGCCTCTAAAAATCTGCGTTTAAAGTTTGTTTTAATATTGTGAGTTGTTCTTTTTACAGATATAAATCCATTAATTTCCGATAAAATAGCTTTGCAGAAAAGTGACAAAAAACCTGCAGTTTTAATTCTATAACTTTTCTTTTAAGCATCCGATTTCGAAGTGGAGTATCTTAAATGTCTCGAGGCTTAGTTTTCTAAAAAACTGCGTTTAAAACTTGGTTTGTAATTTCTGGTCGATTTTCTGCAATTTTTAATGATATTACCCCTTTCTAAATTTCCAAAAAAATCGTGTTTACAGAAAAATGACCTAAACCCTGCACCTCTAATTCCATAACTTTTCATTCTGGCATCCCATTTTCAAGCGGTATATCTTTAAAGTCTTGTGGGTTGAGCCTCTAAAAATCTGCGTTTAAAGTTTGTTTTAATATTGTGAGTTGTTTTTTTTACAGATATAAATCCATTAATTTCCGATAAAATAGCTTTGAAGAAAAGTGACAAAAAACCTGCAGTTTTAATTCTATAACTTTTCTTTTAAGCATCCGATTTCGAAGTGGAGTATCTTAAATGTCTCGAGGCTTAGTTTTCTAAAAAACTGCGTTTAAAACTTGGTTTGTAATTTCTGGTCGATTTTCTGCAATTTTTAATGATGTTACCCCTTTCTAAATTTCCAAAAAAAACCGTGTTTGCAGAAAAATGACCAAAACCCTGCACCTCTAAATCCATAACTTTTTATTCCGGCATCCGATTTTCAAGCGGTATATCTTTAAAGTCTTGTGGGTTGAGCCTCTAAAAATCTGCGTCTAAAGTTTGTTGTAATATTGTGAGTTCTTTTTTTTACAGATATAAATCCATTAATTTCCGATAAAATAGCTTTGCAGAAAAGTGACAAAACACCTGCAGTATTAATTCTATAACTTTTCTTTTAAGCATCCGATTTCGAAGTGGTATATCTTAAATGTCTCGAGGCTTAGTTCTCTAAAAAACTGCGTTTAAAACTTGGTTTGTAATCTCTGGTCGATTTTCTGCAATTTTTAATGATGTTACCCCTTTCTAAATTTCAAAAAAATCGTGTTTGCAGAAAAATGACCAAAACCCAGCACCTCTAATTCCATAACTTTTCGTTCCGGCATCCGATTTTCAAGCGGTATATCTTTAAAGTCTTGTGTCTTAAGCCTCTAAAAATCTGCGTTTAAAGTTTGTTTTAATATTGTGAGTTGTTCTTTTTACAGATATCAATCCATTAATTTCCGATAAAATAGGTTTGCAGAAAAGTGACAAAAAACCTGCAGTTTTAATTCTATAACTTTTCTTTTAAGCATCCGATTTCGAAGTGGTATATCTTAAATGTCTCGAGGCTTAGTTTTCTAAAAAACTGCGTTTAAAACTTGGTTTGTAATTTCTGGTCGATTTTCTGCAATTTTTAATGATGTTACCCCTTTCTAAATTTCCAAAAAAAACCGTGTTTGCAGAAAAATGACCAAATCCCTGCACCTCTAATTCCATAACTTTTTATTCCGGCATCCGATTTTCAAGCGGCATATCTTTAAAGTCTTGTGGGTTGAGCCTCTAAAAATCTGCGTTTAAAGTTTGTTTTAATATTGTGAGTTGTTTTTTTTACAGATATAAATGCATTAATTTCCGATAAAATAGCTTTGCAGATAAGTGACAAAAAACCTACAGTTTTAATTCTATAACTTTTCTTTTAAGCATCCGATTTCGAAGTGGTATATCTTAAATGTCTCGAGGCTTAGTTTTCTAAAAAACTGCGTTTAAAACTTGGTTTGTAATTTCTGGTCGATTTTCTGCAATTTTTAATGATGTTACCCCTTTCTAAATTTCCAAAAAAATCGTGTTTACAGAAAAATGACCTAAACCCTGCACCTCTAATTCCATAACTTTTCATTCCGGCATCCGATTTTCAAGCGGTATATCTTTAAAGTCTTGTGGGTTGAGCCTCTAAAAATCTGCGTTTAAAGTTTGTTTTAATATTGTGAGTTGTTTTTTTTACAGATATAAATCCATTAATTTCCGATAAAATAGCTTTGCAGAAAAGTGACAAAAAACCTGCAGTTTTAATTCTATAACTTTTCTTTTAAGCATCCGATTTCGAAGTGGTATATCTTAAATGTCTCGAGGCTTAGTTTTCTAAAAAACTGCGTTTAAAACTTGGTTTGTAATTTCTGGTCGATTTTCTGCAATTTTTAATGATGTTACCCCTTTCTAAATTTCCAAAAAAACCGTGTTTGCAGAAAAATGACCAAAACCCTGCACCTCTAATTCCATAACTTTTTATTCCGGCATCCGATTTTCAAGCGGCATATCTTTAAAGTCTTGTGGGTTGAGCTTCTAAAAATCTGCGTCTAAAGTTTGTTTTAATATTGTGAGTTGTTTTTTTTACAGATATAAATCCATTAATTTCCGATAAAATAGCTTTGCAGATAAGTGACAAAAAACCTACAGTTTTAATTCTATAACTTTTCTTTTAAGCATCCGATTTCGAAGTGGTATATCTTAAATGTCTCGAGGCTTAGTTTTCTAAAAAACTGCGTTTAAAACTTGGTTTGTAATTTCTGGTCGATTTTCTGCAATTTTTAATGATGTTACCCCTTTCTAAATTTCCAAAAAAACCGTGTTTGCAGAAAAATGACCAAAACCCAGCACCTCTAATTCCATAACTTTTCATTCCGGCATCCGATTTTCAAGCGGTATATCTTTAAAGTCTTGTGTCTTAAGCCTCTAAAAATCTGCGTTTAAAGTTTGTTTTAATATTGTGAGTTGTTCTTTTTACAGATATAAATCCATTAATTTCCGATAAAATAGCTTTGCAGAAAAGTGACAAAAAACCTGCAGTTTTAATTCTATAACTTTTCTTTTAAGCATCCGATTTCGAAGTGGTATATCTTAAATGTCTCGAGGCTTAGTTTTCTAAAAAACTGCGTTTAAAACTTGGTTTGTAATTTCTGGTCGATTTTCTGCAATTTTTAATGATGTTACCCCTTTCTAAATTTCCAAAAAAATCGTGTTTGCAGAAAAATTACCAAAACCCTGCACCTCTAATTCCATAACTTTTCATTCCGGCATCCGATTTTCAAGCGGTATATCTTTAAAGTCTTGTGTCTTAAGCCTTTTAAAAATCTGCGTTTAAAGTTTGTTTTAATATTGTGAGTTGTTCTTTTTACAGATATAAATCCATTAATTTCCGATAAAATAGCTTTGCAGAAAAGTGACAAAAAACCTACAGTTTTAATTCTATAACTTTTCTTTTAAGCATCCGATTTCGAAGTGGTATATCTTAAATGTCTCGAGGCTTAGTTCTCTAAAAAACTGCGTTTAAAACTTGGTTTGTAATCTCTGGTCGATTTTCTGCAATTTTTAATGATGTTACCCCTTTCTAAATTTCAAAAAAATCGTGTTTGCAGAAAAATTACCAAAACCCAGCACCTCTAATTCCATAACTTTTCATTCCGGCATCCGATTTTCAAGCAGTATATCTTTAAAGTCTTGTGGGTTGAGCCTCTAAAAATCTGCGTCTAAAGTTTGTTGTAATATTGTGAGTTGTTTTTTTTACAGATATAAATCCATTAATTTCCGATAAAATAGCTTTGCAGAAAAGTGACAAAAAACCTGCAGTTTTAATTCTATAACTTTTCTTTTAAGCATCCGATTTCGAAGTGGTATATCTTAAATGTCTCGAGGCTTAGTTTTCTAAAAAACTGCGTTTAAAACTTGGTTTGTAATTTCTGGTCGATTTTCTGCAATTTTTAATGATGTTACCCTTTCTAAATTTCAAAAAAATCGTGTTTGCAGAAAAATGACCAAAACCCAGCACCTCTAATTCCATAACTTTTCGTTCCGGCATCCGATTTTCAAGCGGTATATCTTTAAAGTCTTGTGTCTTAAGCCTCTAAAAATCTGCGTTTAAAGTTTGTTTTAATATTGTGAGTTGTTCTTTTTACAGATATAAATCCATTAATTTCCGATAAAATAGGTTTGCAGAAAAGTGTCAAAAAACCTGCAGTTTTAATTCTATAACTTTTCTTTTAAGCATCCGATTTCGAAGTGGTATATCTTAAATGTCTCGAGGCTTAGTTTTCTAAAAAACTGCGTTTAAAACTTGGTTTGTAATTTCTGGTCGATTTTCTGCAATTTTTAATGATGTTACCCCTTTCTAAATTTCCAAAAAAAACCGTGTTTGCAGAAAAATGACCAAAACCCTGCACCTCTAATTCCATAACTTTTTATTCCGGCATCCGATTTTCAAGCGGCATATCTTTAAAGTCTTGTCGGTTGAGCTTCTAAAAATCTGCGTCTAAAGTTTGTTTTAATATTGTGAGTTGTTTTTTTTACAGATATAAATCCATTAATTTCCGATAAAATAGCTTTGCAGATAAGTGACAAAAAACCTACAGTTTTAATTCTATAACTTTTCTTTTAAGCATCCGATTTCGAAGTGGTGTATCTTTTATGTCTCGAGGCTTAGTTCTCTAAAAAACTGCGTTTAAAACTTGGTTTGTAATTTCTGGTCGATTTTCTGCAATTTTTAATGATGTTACCCCTTTCTAAATTTCCAAAAAAATCGTGTTTACAGAAAAATGACCTAAGCCCTGCACCTCTAATTCCATAACTTTTCATTCCGGCATCCGATTTTCAAGCGGTATATCTTTAAAGTCTTGTGGGTTGAGCCTCTAAAAATCTGCGTTTAAAGTTTGTTTTAATATTGTGAGTTGTTTTTTTTACAGATATAAATCCATTAATTTCCGATAAAATAGCTTTGCAGATAAGTGACAAAAAACCTACAGTTTTAATTCTATAACTTTTCTTTTAAGCATCCGATTTCGAAGTGGTATATCTTAAATGTCTCGAGGCTTAGTTTTCTAAAAAACTGCGTTTAAAACTTGGTTTGTAATTTCTGGTCGATTTTCTGCAATTTTTAATGATGTTACCCCTTTCTAAATTTCCAAAAAAACCGTGTTTGCAGAAAAATGACCAAAACCCAGCACCTCTAATTCCATAACTTTTCATTCCGGCATCCGATTTTCAAGCGGTATAACTTTAAAGTCTTGTGTCTTAAACCTCTAAAAATCTGCGTCTAAAGTTTGTTTTAATATTGTGAGTTGTTTTTTTTACAGATATAAATCCATTAATTTCCGATAAAATAGCTTTGCAGATAAGTGACAAAAAACCTGCAGTTTTAATTCTATAACTTTTCTTTTAAGCATCCGATTTCGAAGTGGTATATCTTAAATGTCTCGAGGCTTAGTTCTCTAAAAAACTGCGTTTAAAACTTGGTTTGTAATCTCTGGTCGATTTTCTGCAATTTTTAATGATGTTACCCCTTTCTAAATTTCAAAAAAATCGTGTTTGCAGAAAAATGACCAAAACCCAGCACCTCTAATTCCATAACTTTTCATTCCGGCATCCGATTTTCAAGCGGTATATCTTTAAAGTCTTGTGTCTTAAGCCTCTAAAAATCTGCGTTTAAAGTTTGTTTTAATATTGTGAGTTGTTCTTTTTACAGATATAAATCCATTAATTTCCGATAAAATAGCTTTGCAGAAAAGTGACAAAAAACCTGCAGTTTTAATTCTATAACTTTTCTTTTAAGCATCCGATTTCGAAGTGGAGTATCTTAAATGTCTCGAGGCTTAGTTTTCTAAAAAACTGCGTTTAAAACTTGGTTTGTAATTTCTGGTCGATTTTCTGCAATTTTTAATGATGTTACCCCTTTCTAAATTTCCAAAAAAATCGTGTTTAAGCATCCGATTTCGAAGTGGAGTATCTTAAATGTCTCGAGGCTTAGTTTTCTAAAAAACTGCGTTTAAAACTTGGTTTGTAATTTCTGGTCGATTTTCTGCAATTTTTAATGATGTTACCCCTTTCTAAATTTCCAAAAAAATCGTGTTTACAGAAAAATGACCTAAGCCCTGCACCTCTAATTCCATAACTTTTCTTTCCGGCATCCGATTTTCAAGCGGTATATCTTTAAAGTCTTGTGGGTTGAGCCTCTAAAAATCTGCGTTTAAAGTTTGTTTTAATATTGTAAGTTGTTTTTTTTACAGATATAAATCCATTAATTTCCGATAAAATAGCTTTGCAGAAAAGTGACAAAAAACCTGCAGTTTTAATTCTATAACTTTTCTTTTAAGCATCCGATTTCGAAGTGGTATATCTTAAATGTCTCGAGGCTTAGTTCTCTAAAAAACTGCGTTTAAAACTTGGTTTGTAATTTCTGGTCGATTTTCTGCAATTTTTAATGATGTAACCCCTTTCTAAATTTCCAAAAAAACCGTGTTTGCAGAAAAATGACCAAAACCCTGCACCTCTAATTCCATAACTTTTCATTCCGGAATCCGATTTTCAAGCGGTATATCTTTAAAGTCTTGTGGGTTGAGCCTCTAAAAATCTGCGTTTAAAGTTTGTTTTAATATTGTGAGTTGTTTTTTTACAGATATAAATCCATTAATTTCCGATAAAATAGCTTTGCAGATAAGTGACAAAAAACCTACAGTTTTAATTCTATAACTTTTCTTTTAAGCATCCGATTTCGAAGTGGTGTATCTTTTATGTCTCGAGGCTTAGTTCTCTAAAAAACTGCGTTTAAAACTTGGTTTGTAATTTCTGGTCGATTTTCTGCAATTTTTAATGATGTTACCCCTTTCTAAATTTCCAAAAAAATCGTGTTTACAGAAAAATGACCTAAACCCTGCACCTCTAATTCCATAACTTTTCATTCCGGCATCCGATTTTCAAGCGGTATATCTTTAAAGTCTTGTGTCTTAAGTCTCTAAAAATCTGCGTCTAAAGTTTGTTTTAATATTGTGAGTTGTTTTTTTTACAGATATAAATCCATTAATTTCCGATAAAATAGCTTTGCAGATAAGTGACAAAAAACCTGCAGTTTTAATTCTATAACTTTTCTTTTAAGCATCCGATTTCGAAGTGGTATATCTTAAATGTCTCGAGGCTTAGTTTTCTAAAAAACTGCGTTTAAAACTTGGTTTGTAATTTCTGGTCGATTTTCTGCAATTTTTAATGATGTTACCCCTTTCTAAATTTCCAAAAAAATCGTGTTTACAGAAAAATGACCTAAACCCTGCACCTCTAATTCCATAACTTTTCATTCCGGCATCCGATTTTCAAGCGGTATAACTTTAAAGTCTTGTGTCTTAAGCCTCTAAAAATCTGCGTCTAAAGTTTGTTTTAATATTGTGAGTTGTTTTTTTTACAGATATAAATCCATTAATTTCCGATAAAATAGCTTTGCAGATAAGTGACAAAAAACCTGCAGTTTTAATTCTTTAACTTTTCTTTTAAGCATCCGATTTCGAAGTGGTATAACTTAAATGTCTCGAGGCTTAGTTCTCTAAAAAAATTTTTTATTTTCAGTCTCCATTCCTTGACTAACGTTAAATAAAATTAAGTTCAATATGATATGAGTAGTTCTTCGTGATCACAAGTTATTCATACCTGATAATTCACGGAAGCGGCGTCCAAAGCCATCAACTCCTTGCGCGACAGTTCCTCAACAACGGCAGCGGTGTAGCAGTCGCCCAGCATATTATTCGTAGTGCGAATCCGATCCCTAGAAATGTTAAATTGTAGGTTACCATTCGGTTGAGAAAAACAAACCAAATCAGATCCATACTCACACAAACCAATCCACGGCGAAGAGGAGCGTGACATCCTGAACTGGGGCATCGATGGCGGTGAGCACTACGAGGAGGAGCACTAGAGCAGCACTCGGCACACTGGCCGAGCTCATCGAGGCAGCCGTGGAGGTCAGGAGCACAGTGAGCAGCTCCCCGAATCCCAGTACCATGCCGCTCATCTGGGCAATGAAGATGGAGGCCACCGCGATGTAGAGGGCCGTTCCGTCCATGTTGATGTTGCATCCAATTGGCAGCACAAATCGCGTTATCCGCGGATCCACACGCAGCTTCTCATTCATGCACCGAAATGTTATGGGCAGGGCGGCGGCGCTAAGGGGCGTGGCAGTCGCAGTTTTTGTTGAAGAGTGTATTCGTGGAGTGATTTAATTTTTTTTTTGGGTGTGGTGAGAATTAGTGGGTTGTTCGCGTTACAACATCAGGTCGTGGCAAATACCGGAAGAAAGAAAAAATACACATTTAACGCACTCCTACTGAATGTGAACCTCTGTTCCTGGTTACAAAAGTTATTCAATTTTGATGAGACTTTAAAACAGGATCAAACAAATAAAGTAATGCCATTAAAAACATTTTACAAGTAGATTCTAAAAGGTATTATGAAAGGTTTTAATTAAGTTTTGTTAAGACTTGGCAATTACACAAAAAAAAATATTATAGAATCCGGAATCCATTTTTTCGAATTTTAATGACACTTTAAAGTCTACTTTTTATATGCGAATTTAGATTTGCTGTTAGACAAAACCTTATCAGGAGTATTTTGTGTCGCTCAATCTGTAATTTAATTCATTCGCAATATGCACTTGCACTTAGGCTCTGTGCAGTATTTTTGGCTAAAGACCATCAACAGATTCAATGTACTTAAGGAATCATTCGTTCAGAATAAACACAGAACTCACGTTGAGGCCGTGGCGAAGGCGGTGAGCATGGCCTGGATGAGTCCGGCGTAGAACTTGAACGGATTGCGGCGAACGAAGACGAAATAAATGGCCTGCATCACGATGAACTGGTAGATGAACACACCGATGGCCACCGTGAGGATGAACCACATGAGCTGTGACATCACCAGGCCCAAATCGCCCACGCTCAGTATCTTTCCAGCGATCACCGAGCTAATGCCCACCGGTGTGAGCCACATCACGCAGGTAACCATCTTCATGATCACCTCGAAAATGGCGGCGAAGAAGTCGACCACCACCTGACCCTTCTGGCCAATGGTTCCCAGGAAAGTACCAAAAACCAGACAGAAGAAAACGATGCCCAAGGTATTGGTCCCGTTGCGATACTGTACGTCCCGCACCAGGACCACTTCCTCCGACAGATCCTCCGCCAAGCGTTGCGCCTCCGCTCCGGATGACAAAGTGTCGTTCATCGTCTCGTTGAAGACATGCAGAATGGTCGGCTTGGGCAAATAGACGGTGTGTGCCTGCTGAATGGAGGCCTGGAACAGGTTGTCCGGGAATACGTTTCTGGGGGTAAGCAAAATCATATAGAATTAATAGAAAAAATGCATTATGGAACCCTTAATTTATTAACCTATATACAGTTATGAACAGCAAATAAAAACGTTTATTTTAAGTTTAAACCCGCTTTAATCTTATTTGAACTGCTTTACGCTAAACAAACTGCTTGCCGGTTCAAGACACTAGTTGCTGTTATGTATTCACATGTAGAGGGCGCCACCGAGAGCGCCTACAGGTTCTAAGCAGTTTATTTTTAAGTTAAATTTAAAAGCGAGTCAAAACTATTTCTCAACTTTTGATATTTAAATGTTTTATTAAATGACAGTATAACTAACCTGCCCAAATCCAACAGACTGTCCAATAAGTTCACCGCACGCCTATCGGTCGACCGATCGTCGGCATTGTGTAGATCCGGATTTCCTGGATGGATGAGCAGTACGAGAGCGATTCCCAGAGCAGCATTGAAGAACGAGGTGCTGGCGAAGTAAACCAATGTGCGCAGTGCTATCTTGCCATTCATTTTGGCATTCAGACTGGCCGATCCGGCAATCAGACTGGATATAACCAGCGGCAAGATCATGAGCTTCAGCACACGCATAAACAGTTCGCCAGGATACGAGATTAGCATAATGGAATCCCCGTGCAAATTAAGCGGCCGCAACGAGAGTCCTGCATAAAATACAGAATATGTTATAGGGTAAGTACATATTTTAAAAACTTTTGCAACAAAAATAAGTGTATCATAACGTTTGTTTTAAAAAAATTAAGATTATCCTTATGTCTTCAAAGTGTATAATATATCTAAGCATGGAATTCTCTTTATTTTAATAAATTTTTAATATAATATAAATTTTTTCCGATTTTCGGGGGCTCTATATAAATAAAAAAAATGGATTAGAAAAGCTTAACTGATTCACAGTTCTTCCGAATTTATTATGTATCGTAGCATACACAGAGAAAACTGCTTTATTGAATTGTTTTATATATCTTAGCATTCTATTAGACAACTTTCTATGTTAATGTGGTTTAATTAACAGTTATTGTCAATTTCCGTTTAGAGGTTTTAAGACTTAACTTAACTCTACAGCCTAGATTTGTGTTGGTCACGTAACTCACCCAGTATCACACCGAGTAGGACTCCGGAGAGGGTGACCAGCAGCATGAGGTTATCACTTAGCCACCTGCGGTATCCAGTCAGCTCGACGGGGGCGTCGCTGCGCTCCGTCGTCTTCGGGGGCAGCTCGGTGGAGGTGGGGGGACCCATTTTGGCAAAGAGGTAATCTGAAAATTTCCCAGACTTTTCCATTTCCATTGTCCAAATGTCCAAGTGTCCAAATGAGCGGCGCAGAACCAAGCGCAGCGGAGCGGAGGCGACAAAAAAAAGAAACGAAAGCCAAGAGAGGAGCAAGCGAGACGGGGCGCACGGAGAGAAAGAGAGAGAGAGCTATGGGTTTCCCCTTGTTTTTTTTTGTCACTATTTCGCTGGGATGCGGTGGCTGAGGCTCCTTTGTGGATGGATGGTGTATCGGTGTCCAGTTATTGATTTTTTAAGTACTTTACATTGAACTTGAGAATGTTGATTAGGTAGGCCATTCTACCGGTGCGGCGTTGTCTTCCTTTTGTTCGGCGGTGATTGCGTACCGCCTCGAACCCTCGTTCCCTCTCTGCAGCAGCGGCGGTTGTGGGTTAACGGCTCCGTTGTTGTGGTTTTCTGGGACTTTCCGATCCGGAATGGCAATCCAATGGGGCTGGCGCTACTGACCTTCGCGAGTGGGTGGCTCCTCTCTCTTTAAGGCGCTGAACTGCACTCGCGGCTTGGCTTGTTGTGCACACACACAGAGGGTAATCGATTTTTCAGAGTCCGGGTCAGGGGTCAACTGCAGATGGCCAAACTCTGGGAAACTGTGTCAGGCCCTCTTTGTATCCAATGGAAAAAGGTTGTTATGGTTCCCTTTCAAAGTTCCTTATCCCCTCTGGCTTTAAGTTGCCTTCTTCCGCTTTCGTTTTCACTTTTTTTCAGCCTTGTGTCTGTTTCTCTCTTTTTTCCTCCTGCTTCTGGACTTTCAGCTCCTTTGAAATGCCAACCGTTCACTTCAAGCTTGCTCCTGCGAATGTGCTTCTCTCGCGCTGGGTTAGCTTTTTATTGCCAAACACTCGCACAGGAGTCGAGTATCCTGTGCCATAAATATCAAATCTCTCTCTCTCTCTCTCTCTGTTTTTCGCGCCGCGCATTTATGGCAAATGCCGGCAGGGAAATGAAAACGAAATGAAAATTGAAATTGAAATGGAGACGCGCGGGTGCAGACATCACGCACCGTCGAAAAGCTGATTGACGCTCCATAATTATCATAAAGCGGAAAATTCCGCTCGCCGAACATGCAAAAACTGATTAGCAGGCACGCAGAGAAATAAACTCAAGTATTTTGTAGAATCAAGTTTACAAAACTAATATATATATTTATAAAAAAAAATAATTATATTTATTTAATTTCGACTAAAATCCTATTGAATCGGTGTGTTGTTTAATATGAAAATTAACAAAAAACAACTCCTTCCATATTAAGTATTTGATTTAACACAGAAAAATTGACAAACAGACCGAGAGTCAGCAATGAAAAATGTACTTACATTTTATTTTTATTTTAAGAATAATTATTAATCAACTAATAAATTTGGTTTAGGAATTTACTCTATAAAATTGTCAATTAAGTGGAAATCTGCCTAATTATATTTGTGGCTCGGACTGAAATAGAGTTAGTCGTTAGTGCTTTCTCTCAGTGCATAGCAACCTCGCGAACCATTCCAGGTAATTTGATTTAACCGCGTCGCTAATCGATTTAAGTGACTTGGCAATTGCTCCTTAATGTCCTTGGGGAGAAGTGGCGTAAAAGCAGGGAAGGGTTTGGTCTTTAAAAGACGTTTATCGATCCGCCAGAGAGCGCGCCTTGTTAGCTGTCATTCATAAATCATGTGGGAAACCCCTTTCCCTTTGGCCCCCCAAAACCGAAGTGTATGGCCCATCTTTCGGGCAGTGGGCCAAATCAATAGGGCAGCGCTATTTTTAACTTCTCGGCCTGGCCACAACAAACAAAACGTTCCGCGTCCGCCGGGATCCGGCTGAATTCGGTTGTCACATTGCTATTCGCAATTTGCAGTTTGCAATTCGTATCCCCAGTCGCCATTTCCCCGCGATCTCTGGCAGATAATTAAGATAATTGCAGCGACGAGTTTCGACTGTCCCACTGTCAGCATCGCTTTGATTTCTGCTCGCTGCCAGCGAAGAATTTATTGGCACTTTCCCGTGGAAAAACTTTCAAATATATAACATATGCACATTTCAGATTGGCAAGCTGTTTGAACTTGAACTTGGCATTTTGCTGGGCGGTCTTTGCAAAGGTTATGAAGAAAGAAAGAACCTTTAAGGGAAATATATATTTGGGCTGGGCTCTTGTGTTTTTAATCGATTTAACCTGTCACTTGGCCCATTCATTGCGGTTTCGCTTTGCTGACACAAATTATAGAAAGGCACGACAGCGGAAAACTTTCATACCGAAGGTCACCCTGCATCGCCAGATCTCACACGCTTCTAAACTGTTAGAAATAATTTAAAAATGTTTACAAAACATCTGGATTTTTGTTTGCAATTTATTATAGTTTTATTTTTGTTAGCCTAAATTTGTTACTTCTATTTTAAGGCATTTGCTATTCAGTGCCATTCTCGAAAATAACTTTTACTTTAATATATTTTGTTGGAAATATCTAAAAACAAATGTCTTGCATCTGGAAAATAATTATACTATTTTCGATTTTGAACGAAAATAGTTAAATAAAAAAAATTGTGATAATTAAAAAGAAGAATTCTTTTATCTTTAAAATAGGTTTAAAATTTAAGTTGATCACAATAAAAAAGTATATTTTAAAGTATTTATCGTTGTTAATTTAACAGTCTTTACTTGTTAAATACTTGATTATTTCTCTACGTGCTACGTCCTAGCACACTTCACTATTAATGCTTATTTAATAACTATATTTAGGCTTTTACTTGTCGCCGCCGCCCTGAAGGCTGTGTTTTTTGAATGAGCTCACCTCGAACGATTAACCACAGATTACCCAGGATGGAGCTGGTTTATGGCACTCCCCGCGATAATTATTGTTTTTCGATATGTCTCACTTGGCACTCACACTCACTCGTTCTCTTTTTTGTTTGCACTTTGCTTTGCACTTGAACGCAACCACTCTTTAGCGTACACCACTGCGTATGCTTAACGTTTTGCCAATGCAGTCAGTTGGAATAATTTCCGCAGCAGTTTCTGCTGCCGTTGCATCAACAGTTTCAGAATACGTTGCACCGCTGTAGCCGTTGTAGAGTTTTTTCTGCCTACCTGCGGATATAAGGGAGTTGGGTTTTTGCTAATGGGTTTTTCAGATTCTTTTACTAGGGGGCTAAGTTTGTTTTTCTTTAGGATTTGTTTACTAAGAGAGACAAACGTAGCCGTTGCTGATTGAAAGTGTGATAAAAGTTAATCGGGCTCAGAAAACGTAATTAAATAATAAAGTAATAATTATTAATAATTTAGCTTTGTGCATTTTACTTTAGATAATTTTCTCTATGTGTGTTTCTTAGGGCTGGGTAAATTTAATTATGTGCCTCTGGGTTTTGCCAAGACAAGTGGTAAACAAGAAAGGCTTAAGTTGTTTTTTGGTTCTTTCTGTTATTTGTGAGACCATCAGTTACATCAAAAATAATTTAGTTACAGAAAATTATTAATTTGTTAGGCCTTGAGTACGCAAATAATTACACATTACAAAACACAATCCATTTACATTCTTTCATGCCAAATAAATATATAAGGGTTCTTAGGCAAGACATATTGACGATAGATGGATAGCCTGTATACGTAACAGTTTTTACTGTGTGTTTTTTCAATGTTAAGCCTAAAATTTAAGTGGCTTTGGGGCACAAAGATTCTAAAATTGTATGACAAGATCCCTGCTAAGTGTTAGGGGGTGGAAAAGGACCGCTGGGTACCTCAGCACGAAACACTCGACGTGACGCGGAACCGGGTACTGCAACCGGAATGCCGCGAGACCGCGGACTTAACTGCCTGGCGATCGACGGACGCTGAGCGCCTTAAACGGTACGCGCTGAACGAAATCTCGGACGGAAGCCACACTGAACGCGATCTGAAGACGCTGCTCCTCCAATGTCCGCTGGGCTCGGCAATTGAACGGAAAGTGAGCAATATATTTAATTTAAGCAGTTGCGACAAGAACACATTTCTTTGGCTTTGTTTTTGCCACATTTCGCTTATGCTTGTGCCGCAAGGGTTCTCTATGTAAGTTCTCTAATTCTCTGGGCGGCTAATACGACAGCGAAAGAGCGAGAAAGTCGCCCGTGACGCCAGCAAACCGCGTCAAAAAGAGACCCCATTTGTCTTTGTTTTGTCTATGCATGTGCCTATGGTACATAGTATGTACCATATATCAATGCCCCCCACCTTCGCACCCCTTTTGCAAACATTGCAAAACAAACGATTCCGACACCAAAAACAAACGACAATTGTTTAATGCACTTTGACACACTTTAAATCTTTGGGAAAATTGCCTTATACAAACACGAGAGGGACAGAACATGCAAATAAAATGATTAAAAGCGGAGGGAGACGAATGAGAAATACCTTTTAAACAACTACACAATTGCAAAATTCCTTTCAAATTCCTTAGAGCTTAATTTCTCATTTATGCCATCTCATTTTTAGATGACGAACATCGCTTTTCGGTTTAGAGTGACGACAATCAGCTAATTTAAATCTATCCCAATGTCGGGCACACCTTATATTACTCTTTTTAGGTAATTCAAATGATTAAGTAAACGATTCTCTTGTTTTTCAACTTGCGTGGATCGAGCGATACTCATCTTTAAGTGGAAAATTGCAAGCCGAAGGGTGCGAGAAAATAACAAGCTGAGAAAATTACGCATACGCCGCGATGTCAGGTGCCAAGGTACTGAGATGAAACGCTTTCGTATGTTGCGATTTGTCATTTTAATTAGATCGCGGTGCAGGTGCAATGATTTTAGGCAAAAGAGAAAGTGGGAAATGTTCTACGTAATGTAAGAAATGCTTTCAATGCCAAATTAGCCACCCCAATCTGTCTTCCTCGAATTATAGTCCCTATTATAGGCCCAATTTACATAATAAATAAGCTGAGTTACTCAAACGGAGACTTAAAAAATAAGACTAATATGGGGCCATTGCGTGCCGACTTGGATCAAGTGATAGTTGAGTGGGAGTCCCCTAAAGGTTGACTTGCATAAGTCGGCTATTGAGCCGGCAAAAGCCAATTAGGTGGAAAAGTCAGGAGGAAAGGAAACCGTCTTATCAGGTTCTAAAAATGGCTCTAGTCAACCAAAGCACACTTGCACACAAACAATCGAAATATCTATATAACACTAATAGAAAATAGAATAGTAAAAATCAATTCCGAAAATAGTCCAATGAAAAGTTTAAAGAGATTTTAATATTTAAAATTCATATTTAAAACAGCAAAGTCAAAGCGAAGAAAATTTAAAGTGGGTACAGAATATTTGGATTGACAGTTTTTTTTTACCAGTGTACTTAAGATATAAAGATGTTAATCCAAAATTGTTGTACAAGACAAGAACAAGGAAAGAAGTTTGGCAAAAAGAACAATTGATCAAAAACAATTATAAAAACAAAAATGTATAAGTGTATTTATATCTTAAACTTATTTTCCACGTTATGTTGTTAAAACTACGAATTTTGGGAATTTATGTTATAGATTCTCCATTTATATGGGCAAAAATAGATTAACAAGTTGTTGCTTATTTATGGCGTTGTTCATAAAACGGCAGTGCCATAATGTGGTTGGAGTCCCTGCTAGGGAAAAGCTTTGTTGCAAACTATTTATCCATTTACAGGGTGCCTCCTGCAACAGCTGTCCTTTGTTTACAACCGGCAAACGTAAGCTTATTTTGTATATTTGTTGAACAAAGTTGAAGGCCCCAAAATTGATGCTGGTTGCTATAAAAGATGACTTTGCGTTGCCTGCACTCAGCAGTCTGAAATTTTCACAGACGCAGGGGCTAAAGCGGATAAAGTTTATCA